ATTGGATCAGCCGATAGCCTAGCTCTCCTCCACTGAACATAGCTTGCGCTCTGGCCTAATCCTGTGGCCGCTCTTGTCCCTGACTCTGGCAGGCTGGCCTGGTTTCAGGGGGTGACGCTTTTTGTCTTCCTCTGTCACAATGGTTGGTTTGGCTGGTAATCGAAAGCGCTCTTGTGTGGTTTTCCTCTCCTGCAGGATTACATCTGCCCCAGGTGCGAATCTGGTTTCATTGAAGAGCTGCCAGAAGAGCCGAGGTAAGAGGCCGCCCTCTGCTCCTGAGGGCTGCCTTTGGGTGAGCCAAGGCTTCCCTCACCTGCGCCTCCTGGGGAGGCTTCTCAAATGGGGCGGCGGGGGGGGGTGTTTGTTGAGCTCCTTCCGGTGAGATGTTCCAGGAGAGGTTTATCACCCCCACCCACCGGTGAGTTTCTGTGGCTGAGTGGTGATTTGAACCCAGATCTGTTGTTGTTTTTCTCTCCAGAGGAGAGACAACCAGCCGCCAGGGAGAGTCACCCGTGGTCACATAAGGTTTCTCCTGCCTGCAGGTGGCCTTGGGTGCCCCTATCCTCCCCCCCCCAACCTTTACTGCACTTTACTTGGTCTTCTCCCCAGGAATGTTGAAAACGGGTCCAGCTCCTCTGCCTCCACCAGCGACCAGAGCAGGCATCCGTTCGAGGTTTGTTTTATCCCTTTCCCCGGGCCGTGCTTTCACGGAGAGCGTCGTGGAGGAACCCGCGGCTTCCCACTGCAGAGGGGCCGGGGGGAGGGGGCATTGGGGGTGAGCGCTGAAGTTTGTTCGGACGCCAGCCGCCCTGCTCACCGGCTCGCCTCTTCCCTCCCCGCCAGAACGTGGATCAGCACTTGTTCACCCTGCCGCAGGGCTACGGCCAGTTTGCCTTTGGGATTATCGACGACAGCTTCGAGTTCCCCTCTTTTGGGTCCAACACGGCAACGGAAGACAACCGGGAGGCCGAGAACCGGCGGTCAGAACGAGAGCACCAGTCCCGGCACAGATACGGCGCTCGGCAGCCCCGAGCCCGTTTCACCACCCGACGGGCGGGTGGGCGGCACGAGGGTGTCCCCACTCTAGAAGGGTAAGGAGAGAGGTCCCCCCAAGAAGGGGGAGCAGCGGCCTCAGACTGTGGATCCGACCATGCGCTAAAAAGCAACCGTTTAGTTTGGGAGTGGAAGCTGCTTTTGGCGGGGGGGGGGGGATTTGGTTTTTCCCAACTGCAAGGCTATTTTGAAAGACTCCTTTGGCACAGTTAGGTGTTAGGAACGACTCGCCCTGAGCATTATTTATCTACTTCATTGCTTTCTCTCTCACTTTTCGCTCCTGGATGGGAATCACGGCAGCTTATAAATAAGGAACATCAATAAAAGCAGGAAATAGATTTCAACATTTTAAAAATGTGCCAGTAAGAAAACAGGAAGCACACCTCCAGTTAAGAAGTTCCATAAAAGGTCAGGGAACAAGGTTTCTGTTGCCCTAAAGGATCAATCTTCCTCTTTTTGCTGTCAAGCGTAGGTGGGTGTTGGGGGGGTCGCGCTGAGCCCATCCATGAAAACTCAGGTATTCATGAAGGTGTTAGTCTTAAACCTCTTAGACACACAACGCTTTGGCGTTTCCTCTTACCCCCTGCAGTTTTTAGAACCTCTTTTTAAAAATGCTGAGTAAGTCGTGAAACAGTTGTTCAGTGCCCCCCCCCACGCCTCTCCCCTCTCCCTCCCTGTTGTCCACGCCAGCCAGGTCCAAGGGGAGCCGTCCTCCTGCGACTTCGGGGGGACCTTCAGAGCCCCTTCCTGGCTCAGCTTCTTAGGCCCTGGCGTCCAGCGTGAAGGGTTTTGCATCCCGCCCGGAGCCCTCGTCCTCTCATCTGACCCACCATCTTCCTTCTCTCCTCTCTCTCTCTCTGGGCAGGATCATCCAGCAGCTGGTCAATGGGATCATTGCACCGACCACGATACCAAACCTGGGAGTGGGTCCATGGTGAGTTTGTGTGTGTGTGTGTCTGCTTGGCTCTTCCTGAGGGCTGGTGCATCTGTGCGGGATGTGTGCAAAGCCCCAAGACTCCCTGTCCGCTTTTCGGTCGCTGTTTCACCAAACACACGAGGCCGCCATTTTACACCCAGCTCCAAAAGGGTGCTGCTTTTCCTTGCCTTGTAACGTGATATCACTCCGGGCCGGTCGGCTCCTTCTCTTACACAGCCCCTGCACCTCCACGTCACTGAAAACCAAAGGACTCTGTAGAGTTTTTGTGATCCTGAATTTGGCCCAACGGATTTGGCCTGTTCCACTTGGCTTCCTTTGCAGTCTGCCTCTGCCGCCCCTCCCTGCAGAGCTCTGACTCTTCCTCCACTCTCTCTTTTCTCCCCAAAGGGGGATCTTGCATTCGAATCCCATGGACTACGCCTGGGGGGCCAACGGCTTGGATGCCATTATCACTCAGGTAAGCCAGGCTAGCTCTTAAATCCCGATCAGGGCTCTGTGGTCCTTGCAAGAAGGCAGGGAGGGAGCGGCGCCCTCCTGCGTTGCCTTTTGCAGGTAAAGAGAGGGCCTCCCGTTGAGGTGCCGTCTGTAGGAGCCGGGCGAAAACATTGGGTGGCTTCAAGGGAGCCGTAGTCGTCTCCCCAGCGGATGTGATCCCTGCAGTGTCCGCCGTCAGGCTCTTGGGGGCTTTCCGGGGGTGTCTCTCTGTTGACCAACAAGCGAGAGGGGCTGGCCCTCTTCAAATCTAGCTGGGGCTGGCTCCAGGAGAGGGGAGCCACGGCTGACCTATTCAGGAAGGGGCAGCAGTGCCTCTGAGCACAGGCCGAGTGTAGACTGTTCGCTCCCCTTGCCAGAACACGGGGCCTTTTCACACACCTGCAGATCCTCTCCTTGTTCTCCCCAGGGTGCGACCCAGCGGGAGAGAGATTCCTCCCCTTGTTGGTGGTTTGTGTGTGTGTGTGTGGGGGTGATGGCGGTGCCCTGTGGCCCACTCTGTGTGGGCCGTCCTCTGGGGGACCCAGGCCCACCTTGACGGCCTGTTTTTTTCAGCTGCTGAACCAATTTGAGAACACCGGGCCCCCTCCGGCCGACAAGGAGAAGATCCAGGCCCTCCCCACCATCCACATCACGGAGGAACACGTGGGTGAGTCGCTCCCTCAGCCGCCTCTCCCTCGGCTCCTGACTCTGGCGTCGCCCACCTTGGAGAAGGAAGGTGGCCACAATCCCAAAAAAACTCTCTGGAAGGTGGCGGGTTGCTTTTTCCTGGGCAGGTTGGATGCCTGTCTGTGAGGTGAGGGTGGGAACTATCCCTCTCCCCCCCCCCACCAAGACACACACATCTGCTTTTAAAGCTCCCCTCCTTAAGGGCCTCCCGTTGTTCCAGTGAACACTGGAAGTTAAAGGTTTAGAGCTGTAAACTTAGAACCCAAGCGGCCCATTTTTGCACGTAATGTTGGACACCCAGAAACCCAGCAAGGTAGGGGGGTGTCCTAAAGCCAAAGGCTGAACACCGTTCACCTCCACAGCCGCACAGAAGGAGTGGCAGCCTTATCTGCAGGGATCTGTAGCTCCCCCGTGCCTGTCCTTTTCCCTGGGCTTCCCAACCCCCCCCCCCCCTTGATGTGGGACAGAGCCGGTAACTCTCCCTTTTCTCTATATGTGTGTCCGCCCTGCCCCGTCCACTTCAGATTCTGGGCTGGAATGCCCTGTCTGTAAGGAAGATTATGAGGCGGGCGAGAGTGTCCGGCAGCTGCCCTGCAACCACCTCTTCCACGATGGATGCATCGTTCCCTGGTTAGAACAGGTGAGCCTTCCCCCCCCCAAACAAATACCCCCTTCCCACATCCCTCCTCTCCGGTGGGTTTCTCTGCCGAACAGAGACCCCCAAGAGCAGCCGCCGGGACTGTCTTCTCAGCCACGAGGTTCCTCGTCTGTTCAAGGGCAGAGGGCGGCTTGTGTCGAGAGGGTGGGCAGCAGCCTCTCCACACACACACACTTCTTGTCCCATGAGCAAAGGCCGGGCTTGGCGAAAATGGCTAACCACATCCATAATGAGGTTTCGTCTGCATCTCTCTCTGTCTCTCTCTGTATCTCTCTTGCTTTTCTGCTCCCTGTGGGCCACCCCAAAGCATGACACGTGTCCCGTCTGTCGGAAGAGCTTAAGCGGCCAGAACACAGCCACAAACCCGCCTGGACTCTCGGCCATGAATTTCGCGTCGTCTTCATCGTCCTCGTCCTCATCCTCTTCCTCCTCCAGTTCCCCAAGTAACGAAAACTCTGCAAACAACTCATGAACCGTTTAGAGAACCCAACCGAAAAAAGTCGCCTCTCTCATTCTTTTCCCCACCCCACCCCCTTCTTTTATTGCCGTCGCTGTTTCCCTGTTCTCCCCAGCGCCACCGGGGCCGGGAACCGG